TGTTAAGAGCTTAGAGGGACAATCAATATCTTATAGATTTAAAATAACCATTATGGGGCCGGGGATTTAGCTCAGTGGTTCTGCCACCTGCCTCACAAGCACAAGGTCCCGAGTTCGATCCCCGGTACCAAAAATAAATAAATAAATAAAATAAAAATAAAATAACCATTATGTATGTGACTGGAAATGTTTCCGTGACTTGATAAAAGTATTTTAAACATTAGTTTGCTGTAGTGTACTACTTTTGTAAATTTCCCAAATTGCCATCATGATATAGATATTTAACATAGATGTCAAATACTCTTCACTCCTATGAGAAGCTTCCCAAGCTCAGAAACAACTGTCTCAACTGACCTTGCAAGAAATGTGATAGAACATCAATGTGAATATTTTGACTAAACCAGGTCTATATTCAAGCTCAAAGAAATGTGTACAAGAAAAATAATGTTTGAGCAGAACTACAGACAATTCAAACAAAAGTCAACACCTATATATCCTGTCTTTAATACCAAAAAAGCAGTCTTTCCCCAAATCACCCAGATGACAATTTTGAAAGCATCATCACTGTAGATCACATTCACTTAGAAAATATCCTGCCATGTAGAACACTACCATCATAAACTCACTGAACCAAAAAATTGAGAGTAAAATCCAATTGGAATGTGTTGCAACTGTGTTTTTCTCTAAAACTTATTACCGTAACTGAACTCAAGACTTGTGTTGTCCCTGCAAAATTCTGCTTAAGCTTCTAGGCCCTGTTTTTAAAACACAGAAGCTAAAATAGTATAGCTATTAGTAAAAGAGGACTGAATAAATTTTACAACAAAAAATTTGATCTAACCAGTCACAGATTAAAAATTAACAAAGTATTTTAGAAATGCACAAAATGTGGACAGGAGGAGATTAAGAGAAGGAAGTGGTTGGCCGCATTTATTGTCCACCTCCACTGAATGCTTGCTTCATCTCATCTCTGATTTAGTAAGCCAGAAAAGCATTTTAGATGTCGCAAGATTCCACTTGAGTTCTGACGATAAAGAGCTAAGAAAGCGTGAGAGGAGAAATGGGAGGAAATGTAAACAGAATTGTAGGGCCCGTTGCCTCCTTTTTCTTACCTTCACTGACCAGTCCGCTCCTTTGTTTCTGCAGAAACACAGTAATTGAGCAAACAGCGAACAATCCTGGGAGCACTCTGCAGAAATGTTCCCAAGTTCTTCACGGGTAGGACCAAGAGACTGGGCTAGTAGTCATTGCATTACCGTTCTCTTAATAACTGATCCTATGGAAAAAGGGATGTTTTCACTTAAGTTTGATTTGTGCTAAAGAAGCAGTGGGAAGTCCCAGGAAATGAGGAGGTAATAACTGACAAACCCACATCGAGCTACAGAATGGTGCTTCTTCCCCTTTTTTGAAAACTGAAACCTATCTATGAAACTGCCTCTTGTTTAAAAAATACTTTTAATGCTACACATTATGCAAGAACCTTAATCAACATAATTATTCTTCCTATAATAAATTCTTTGGTGGCTCTCTTCCTAAGAGACCCTCAGTTATATATGACTTCACAAAATGCTCATCACTAATCTATTATTATTTATTTCTCAATCACTGTCATAGTTTTAAAAAATTCAAATAAAGTTTTCTCTTCAATTACCGACAGTCAAAACTTTGTGCACAAAGTGGTGGAGAACAAGGCACTCTTGTATACTATTGATGAGACTGTAAACATATTTAGAAGACAATTTCCCAGTTATCTGTCAAAATTTTAAATGTTCACATTATGCAATCATTATAGTGAAGTGTATTTGTGTCTATTGATAGAAAAGGATCTCTAAGATACATTGTTTAATAAGAACTCATGTTCTAAATTGTACTTTTAAGGCATATATACACACAATTATTTATTTATTTATTTATTTATATTTAACAGGATGTTTCTTTTCTACATTGATGCACAAAAATTAAAAACAAATGTCTTTCCAGAATGAGACTACATTTTATTCTATATCTTTTTTGATATTTCTATTATATGTATGTTTTACTTTTTCATTTTACAACTAGTGTTTTTAAGCCATATTTAACTTGTTTTGGTTTTATGATCCAAGTGTATTATAATCTATGTCTTTTCTGGGGGACAGACAAGACTGTCAGCAAAGGGTCAGTTCTTCTTGCCTCCCAAAAGGGAAAATTTTTTAAATTAAGATTTTCAAAATCACTTAGCTGATTTACTCTACCTGCTTCAAGTTAACTAACAAGCAATATTTTATTCACTGAACTTTTCTACCTAACTCTGATCAAAGCTAAATTCCAAACCCTTAATTGGTGAACATTTCCACTTTGTGATTTATAATTGTTTTAACTTAAGGGCCGGGGATTTTGCTTAGTGGTGCCGCTGCCTGCCTCACTTACACAAGGTCCCGAGTTCAATCCCTTGTACCAAAAAATTTTTTTAAAACTTAAAATCTAATCTTTAAAGGTATAGGAACATTTTTCTTTGTTAGTACTTCATGATTTTCTTTATTGTCGCAGGGAACATTACTTAGATCCAGTTGAAAAGGCAGGTTCCTCCATAATAGTTTCAAATCTGATGTGACCTGCCAGAAGAAACACTAGACTCATGACCCCACGGGCAAGTTCAGTTGCAGTGTAATCCTATGAAAATTAGGTCCAAGGATGTCTCCAGGCTGTGATGACCTGGCAAGGATTTATCTGTGGTCAAAAGGTTATCGAACCTTCAGGGCTAAACATTGTGTTTTTTTTCACAACCACAACCATGTGGATATCATAGTGCAGCAATGGCAGAACTTTTAGAGACCTAGTGGGCAAACTGTAACCCAAAATCCACTTAGTTATTCTAAAGTGCCAGCACTGCAATTAATCCTGAATACTGAGGTTTTAGTTTAGAAAAAAACAACTGCTGAGGTGACTTGGCTCACAGGCCAACAGAGAGGGTTTTATGTGCCCGCTGCAGCATGTATGCCCATAGATTCATCATCACTGCCCCAGAGTGAGTCTTACCTAACTCCAGAAACACTCTGGTGAGTTCCACAAGAACTCATCCAGAAGTGCCATGAAATAACAAATGTGCAATAATGCCATCTGCCCCCGGTTGGCTTCAGTTGCATATATTTCTTTATTCAAGTACAAAATGCAGAATTTTCTTTACATTTATTCCTCATTTTGTCCCTTAACTTACTCCTTTTATAAAAATCATCCTTCCCAGAAAAAATTGTAATAAAAAAGTTGGCACTATATGAAGGTAGCTTACCATTTCTCTTGTCCTAAAACTTAAGCATATGAAATTGGCTTTAAACTGCTTTTTCTTTCCTGACTCGAATAAAATAGAATTATATCCTGTGTAGCTACAATCTTATATGATTTCCCATCAACCTCTTGGATGGTAGGTAAAAATTATTGTCTTGATTTCAGTTCTCTAAGTGGATATTATTCCTATTATCCAAGTACCTCTGCTGGTGTGGAAAATACATTCCAATTTATTTCCATTATGATATTATCCACACCTAGCACAGTCTCAGTCTTCACTGAGTTTCCCTCACCCTGGCCACCCTGCACTCACCTCTATGTGCTCTTGCTAGTGCTCTAAATTCCTCAACAGTAGCCCTTTCTGTCACATCCTATTTGCCAATGTCTAGTCCCAGATAAAATCCATTATTGCCTTTTCCTAAAGGGAGAAACATGTATATAAGCATATGTTAAATATACACATATTTATGCACACACACAAACTGATCAGTCCACATATTTATTCCATCAAACTTCAACTATATCAAGATAAATCCTGTCTTCCCAAAGCATGCTCTTCAACCACTTACAGTACAGTTTTCTCTCTCAGTACCCCCAATGACTCACCTTAAGCTATGTTCTGAAAGTTACCAAAACTCCTTAATCATCTAGTCTACTATCCTTTATCTCACTTTATATTCTCTTTGGCATGTCTACAGTATTTGACACTGTTCATTAATCCCTTCTCTGTTACTAGTTGTTTTTGAAAATGTCAGATAGTGTATATGATTTTTTAAAAGTGGTAAGTGGTGTACAAGATTTATAGTAAAAATTAAACCTTTCTCCTTATCTGATTTTTAGGTCTCCCAAGCCCTTTTATTTTTCATTTATTTTGAGACAGAGTCTGGCTCTGCTTCTCCCAGAGCCAATCCTTATTGTCAGCTTCCTGACTATCAGTCCAAATATTACATGTATCTTCTTTTATATACAAATGATATAACACTAACTATGATATCCTGTACCTTAACTTTTTGCTGTATAAATTTTTCAATATCAGTACTGATTTCATCATTTTAATAACTATTTCCCCTGTATAGTATATGTAATAATGTATCTAATCAATTCATTATCGATGCAACCCTTCATCTAAGAAGGCCTCATCACCATTACCCAGTTGATTTTGTGCCTTTGCACACTATTAGTTATTCTACCTCCCCACTTTCAAATCTCCTTCACTGGTTTCCTATCAACCACTGGGGGGAGGATACTGGAAATTGAACCAAGGACCTTCATACTGAGCTACATCCCCAGCTTTTTTTTTTTTTCAATTTTTGGGATGAAGTTTCACTAAATCACTAAATTGTCCAGGCTATGTCTAAGTAAATGTAAAAGAACTGAAGTTACCCCCTGTATATTATCAGACCATAGTGCAATAAAATTGGAGATCAATAACATGAGAAACTGCAAAACTCCCACAAACACATGGAAATTGAAAAACATCCTCCTGAACAACCAATGGGTCACAGGGGAAATTAAAGAACAAAT